TGCAGACACATGAGTAACCGCAAAGACTCCCATTTTGTGCTTCGCATATAGGAGTCAAAAATAGTTCTTAGGCTATCCATTCGCAAGACACCAGGCATCAACTTAGATGAAATAAGCTTTTTAGGGGAGACCACACTCTCCGTGATCCTTAATTCAACTCCAAGCATACCTTGCAAATTGATTGGTCACTATGAAAGGCCTACAGCAACAGTTAAAGTGTCTATATTGTAGTTTATAGGCTTATTAAGACCACTTCTTTGCTACTATGATAGTAGAACTTATTGTTGGCAACATTCTACCATGAGTTATACAATGTGCAATGAACCAATTTAATGTTTGTGTTTGATGATATATCGATACTGCGTTGAAATTCAATGACCTCCATATTGAAAACCAAGAGAATCATCTTATCAAGCTACAGTTAGTATTTTTACAAATGGCAAGTGATTATAGTCTTGGAGCAATGTCTCTTGGCTATGAATTGAATGACATACGAGCGATGTTATCACCCATGATGCAAAAATTAAAAGGTTATAACCAAATGGTATTTATGCTAGAATATATTGGAAAAACATTCACAGTACCCGACGTCTGTGCCCCTCTGGGAACAAAAATTGCAGAGAATGACCAGAGGCCTGTGCGCTAAATTACGTTCAAGCTAACCAGTCATACAAATGGAGCCATCTGACTGCACTCAATGACTTGTCCCTTTTTATAGCCGAAATGGGTCAACAGAATCACTTGGACTAATAATCAGTGGGGATCTTGTTGAGTTTAAGTGACTCTAGAGGAAGACGCTCTTATGCTCCCACCTCCAATTATTGTATTATTCTACATGTGTAATTTCTACTATATCTTATTACCGTCAATCCATACGTCAAACATAAATAGATATGTAATTAATTAGCAGTAGAGTGAAAAAAGATTAGAAGTAACTCTGGTAAGCTGGAAGAATATATTTTTCATAACTATTGAATACCTTGCCCATGATTTGTGAACTATACTTTGACTTGATGATGACACTTGTGTCATAAATTACAAACTCATTGAAATTCAGAGGTATGTGAAGATTCACATTACTAATATCATACCCCAATTTAAAGTCATTATTTAGTATAGTACCCCCCCCCCCCGCGATAAACCAGATCATGCTCTTTATTAAACCTTGGAACTCTGGTGATATTGTTGGACACTCGGCTAGAAAATTCTTCCTTTGCTGCCAATTGCTGGTGTGTAATTCGAACAGTGACAGTACCCCTGTGATCTTGCATCATAAGTGGTGGGTCTTCTGGCTACTAGCAAGAACAGGAGTGGAAACCAGTTTCACTGACTGCTGCTGTCATTATCACATTCAGCATTACCAGTACTTTTTCAGTACAGCATTAATGAAAATAGAGGGAACATATACATGTCCAAATTTGCCCAATTTATCATCATGTCTATTGCATATGCAAGGGGATCTGGAAAGCATGACACGTACAACTTCAGGTGAAAAGGTTTTGTACTTTCAGTGGTCACAATTTTTGTGTGTGATAATGCCCCAGTGTTTTACAGACATGAAATATAATAAATGTGGATACCAATAGTACTTCTGTTTTTATAGTACCCATGTATAATTTGTAGACAAGGCTAAGTAAAGCCCATCCATAATACAATGCAATACTATTTTACATGAGTGTCTAACATACATGTACTAGCTAAACCTGGTGCTCATGGTTTATTTGCTTTGAACAGAATTTAACTAATTTGTACCATAGCAGTGGCAAATTGGGAGATTCGCATATACGCTAAATTACTGTTCTGAATGAGACAACAGAGAATGCTCTAGTCAAAAATACCATCAAACCTTAAAGCTGTATTATTTGATGAGCCAAGAACGGGAATCAGTTCACAAGTGTGTCAGAACCTGAATGATATATTTTTTACCTGGAATACCTAAAATCCTGATAAGTAATGCTGCTCGAATCTTGCTTTGGAACAAACTTAAAACAACTAGCCTAGGAAGCATCACATGTTTGCTTGGATGCAGTTGCAACATTGATATGAAATTTTATATAACATGTATAAATTTAGAAAGAACAAGTTATGCATGGCAGAGTCCCCGTTAGTTATCGAATTTAAGATATATAGTTTTGTTTATAGTAATATAGCTGGAATATAAACATGTCAGGAATATGATTATAATTGTTTAACATTAAAATAATTGACAATAGTATCTGATCGTCAAATGAGTATTGAGAAATATTGTTCTGGAACAGCATTAATTAAAACAAAATCAGCCACTTTAAATACATGTATAATGAATATATAAAATTTGAACATAGTCAAAGCATGTCACAGATATGGCTCTAGAAGCCCATTCATTAAAACAAAATGGTCGCTAGTCAGGCATTCTGAATCCGATCTGAAAAATAAAATGACTTGCATCAGGAACCTGTAATGTCTAATGTATCACAGTCATTGGTACATACATTCACAGTCCCTCTATCATAGATAGAGGGACTGTGAATGTATGTACCAAATTTGAACAAAATCCATCTATAAATGCCAGAAATGTTTGACATTTGATGATTTTTAGCACAACAATGGCCACCATTCGGCCATTTTTAATAGGATCGTCAAACAGATATATCTGTACATCTATGACCTGATGTATAATGAATATTTAAAATTTGAACATAATCAGTACAGCAAGTCAGAGATATGGCACTAGAATCACATTCATTAAAACAAAATGGCCGCCAGTCGGCATTTTGAATTTTATCTGAAAAAAAAAAGATGTGCATCAAGGACCTATAATATCCAACTTATATACCAAGTTTGAACAAAATCCACAGCTGAGAAATTGATTTTGATGATTTTTAGCAGAAAAATGGCTGCCATTCAGCCATCTTGAATCAGATCGTGAAACAAATTGATGTGCATATGTATAATGTGTGAAGTTTGATTGGTGGAGGAATTTCTAACACACACACACACACACACACGCACGCACGCACGCACAGAGGTCAAAACACAAGTCCTCATTTTTGGACTGCGTTCGAACGGGGACTAAAAAGACAATACAAAACAATACAACCTCGATTTTGTGCGTGATTCGATGGACTTATTGATGCCCTTAGCAGCTGAAAATTCCATCACAGCAGTATATACATAAATGCTCAGCTGTAAAATTTCTAACAATATCTGACCCAGATATCTTGTGAATACCGTAATTGTTGCATTTGGTATACGACACATACTTCATTCAAGTCAAGTGATAAAATACTGTAAAATACTTTATTTTTGCTTGGAATTTATTTTCGCTATTTTCGCTGAAGGGATGATTCCTTGAAAATAAAATCCAGCGAATATACTTTTTTTCCTATATTTCACATTAAACTCATCAAAAATCAGTGAAAATAAATTCCAAGAAAAACGCCCAAAAAGCCTTTTCAGCGAAAATTAATTCCAGCGAAAATAAAGTATTCCACAGTATATCTGATAATACAGCTTTAATTAGTAGTCATTTTGTTTTGTATCCTGTCTCCATCAAAATTAGAGAATTCATATGATAAGCTCCATTCAACAAAGTTGACAGCAGAGCTAAAAAACACACAATTGATAAACAATTTGAATATATAGAATTTATTGTGAAAAAAGCACACAATTGAATTTTATAAAAAAAGAAAGTAATGAAACATGCATTTAAAACATCTTAAAACTAAAAAATCTTGCACACGTTCAATTGCAGTAAAAAAATATTTCAAAACTTTTAGTTGAGTTTGTTTTGGAACTACAATGGTCGAAAAAAAAAATAGATACAATAAGGAAATCCTTTTTTGAAAAGGAGAAGAACAAAATTTATTATTATATAAGGTGTTCCTAAAACATGATTACATCATAGTTTAGTAGAAACTTGGCAGTCATCGTTAATATACAGAAGTGTTTGGAGATTCAGAAATAGAGGACAGTGCAGCAGTTCAATCAGAAAAAAATCAAATAAGATTTTTAGAGATATCAGAATCTTTGCATTGTGGATTATATACTAAGATATGGCAGCAACAATAAAATATATCATTTCCCTTCTAGGATTGTTTCAAACTTAGATTAGATGAACTGTTTTTGCTTTATTAGTAGTGCATAAACTTTTGTAAATGAGTCATTGATAGTCGATTATTATGACATAATGTAATGATCAAGCATACAAAAAATTGCAAAAAATTGTTGGTTTATGTGCGCTTCAATAGAGATGACCTTCTAATAGAGCAAACACCTGAATTTGGCAAAAATGAGTTGCTTACATGATAAATCTTTCTTTTTTTTCAAATACTTTAAACCTCTAACTTGATCGTTTAATAAAATAAGGATAACCTCCTAATAAGTCTACAAACTTAATGGTATTTAACAACAGTTAAATTATTCAAACAGGCAGCATGTCAGCTGATATAGCTCCGCTGTATAGTTGAAAATAGCAATATTCACTAAATTTGAAAATTGTAGGTATCGTCACAAATTGAACAAAACTGACAAAGTTCCATTCAAGGTTTCTCCATATGAAATATCAAAGCAATTGGACTAGCCGTTTTCATGATAAAGTCAAAAATAGCATATATTTTTTTACCCAAAATGACAAAAATATTAAGATATTTTGAAGATATCACAAAACGAGGAAATCTGATGGAGGTCTACCTAGGTACATGTATACCAAGTATAAAAGCAAGTGGATTTGCCATTTTCGAGAAGAAGTCGAAATATAAAAAGTTAACACCAACGGACGATGACGGACAATCAGTAATATGAACATCTCCGCTCGATCGATTAAGTCAACAATTGAGCTGAAGATCAAAATTGAGCTTTTCATAATAAAATAGCACCCGATTTAATGAAGTTGTACCTTTTATAGCACAAATAATGATTTATAAAAACAAATCTTACAATATTTAATTATAATATTACATAAAATTAAACTATTAAAATATTAATACTGAAGTGTTAACTGCAAATAAAATAAATTTATATATAAGGATGGTTTACTTAGCAATATTGCAGATGGAAACGTGACCATACACATGGTGATGTCGTGAGACCATGCATACATGTTTATACCCCTATGTACTAATTGGTCTATATAACACTATCAACTAATAAAAACATCTCAACAAAAACATTATATTAGCTATTATAAATATATTTGGCACGCTTCACTAAGTATTGCATCTTTCCACTTTAATAATACATGAAAGGTGGGAAAATTAGGAAAGATAGGAAAAATTAGGATATCTTTGGCAATTTTTTTGTAAATGTAAAAAAAATAACTAGAGCTGTTTGAGGAGAAAACTAAGAATAAAGGCACGGAAGACGATAGTAATAAATGAACTGAGCTTCTTTGTTTCAATCATAAAAAGTATTTCAGCATTATTTGATTCATACTGCAGGCAGCTAGTGATGATGTTCTTAGAGTGACAATCAACAGAACCACATCCATTCCATTCCACGTCAAGTATTAATCAGAATCTGCACCACCATACATGTCAGCAAGTTTTTGAAATGGTGGTCCGAGATCTTTCAGGTATCCGTAATCTTGTTCTGGTTCAGAACTGCTACTTGTATTCAATGAGCTAAGACTCCCAGCTGTTGATCCCTCGCCTTCATAATCGTAGAGATGTAAAGTGTCATAAGGTGGTGCATTGGGATCATCATCAGCATCGCCAAGCCGATCGTTAATGAAATCACCAACATCAGGGCTATCACCTGTATAACAAACAAACAGATTAGGGTAGATGTTGACAGAAATAAAGATTTTAGATTTTACTAAGGTAGTAACTGAAAGGCAGTGTGATCATTGAGATATTCTACTAAGGTGGCAGTCAAAAGGCAGTGTGATCATTGAGATATTCTACTAAGGTGGCAGTCAAAAGGCAGCGTGATCATTGAGATATACTACTAAGGTGGCAGTCAAAAGGCAGTGTGATCATTGAGATATTCTACTAAGGTGGCAGTCAAAAGGCAGCGTGATCATCGAGATATACTACTAAGGTGGCAGTCAAAAGGCAGTGTGATCAATGACAATAATGCAATTTAACCACTTGTTTGATCTAATATATACAACTTCATTGCAAGTATTCCTAGCTGAAAACAACATTTTTATGAGTTGCATGCAAAAAACGTGTGCAGGATTATCTCAGTGAAATTTTGTTTCATCTCTCCAGTCACATGAAAAGAAGTCCCAGCAAGACAGTAATTAACCAATCACAGCATTGCTAAAAAGTCACATGACTATAACTTACAACATGGTTACCACTAGCAAAGGTAACCTACCTTTAGGGGGTGCTCTCCTTCTTGGTGCGTCTTTCTGTGGTGGTGGATGTTCTTGTGGTGGTGGAACTGCCATGGTTCTTACAGGTGCTTCCTTTGGTATGAGTGGTTTCTTATCAGTGTTAACAGGACTATCGCTATCTACTGGTTTACTCAAAGGTCTGATGTCATACATATCTTGATCTCCTTCGCCACCACCTTCGTCATCGTAAACTATCATATTTTCCCGGATATCATCTTCTGGATAATCCATATATCCCAGTACATTTTTCTCTCTTCTACGCTTATAAACGATGCAGACAAGCACCAATACTATTGAACACAAAAAAAAATTAATGTAATTAGGTATTGTTTCAAAAATCCCAAAGCATGTAAAACTTGCTCAAATAGTTTCCAGCAAAAATAGAGTTTGAAGCCATTGACATTTCAAGTAACATGTGTACTGTAATAAATACAAAAGCTATTCCTGAAGATGGACTTTATTACAAAATCAATATTCTGAGAAAAGCACACCAGATTGGTGTTCCTTGTAGTCATTAGGTTCTTTTTGAATTCATAGGAATGACTATTATATTCATGTTACCACTGCATACAGTTAGTTGTGTAACCAACACAGAATTCAAACAAAGCATGACCAGATTTATTGTGGTGAAGAAAATATAAATATAAATGTTGCATCTTATGTCAGCTTCATTCAGTATAGCTCACAAATGCAAGGCCTCAACTTCACAAAGGCATCAAAGGCAATTGCTTTGATGCTCAGAAAGTTTGTCTTGTGCCCTTCGAAAAATACAGATTTCTTCTATGCAATTTCTACAATGCTAAGACAGTTTTATAAAATATTTGCCTTGAAAAACCGTGCCCCTCACAACTCCTTACTTGCAACTAAATTTTGCTGACAATATAATGTGATTACAACAAACATTTAACAACAGTTTCTTTTCAATACAACAATCGACTTTTTTGTTGCACATTTGTGAACAAAGATAAACAAGTCATCATCAATGGCATAGTCCCTGTTTGTGTTTTAGACGCAAGATATATAACCCGATGTGTGATGTTTTAACAGATCCGATAAAATGAAATGATGTGCATTAAGGTCCCAGGAATTTGTTCATGCACGACTGTTCTGGAATGGTGATAATTTGTGATTTTAATAAATATTTACCTTAAAATGGCAGCAATACGAAGACTTAAAAAATGTGTTATAAAATTGCAATCTTAGTTTGAAATCTTATAAACCATGAACATAAAAAAGTTTTTTTTTAAATAATTTGTTTTTCTTAAGTTTTAAAAGTAATAATTTAACATACTGTTATACAATAAATTAATAAGACACTTACTAATTAAGCAAAGAAGGCAGATGAGTATAGCTATGCCAGCACCCATGCTTAGTGTAGCTGTAGCCCCTACATATGCAAACACCATTAATTGCTCACAGTGTATACCACTATAACCTTCAGGACAGATACATATATATCCATTGACACCATCTATACAGGCACCACCATTCAAACAAGGATCACTTAAACATTCATCTATCTCAATACAAGTGCCATTAAGGAATTCTTCTCCTACTGGACATCTGAAATTAAGAAGATAAGACTTTAACAAATCATAGAATTGTCTACGAATCAAGGCTTTTTATAAACACTGATGCAATTTTATTTACAGCATAAAAATATTTAAAACAAATTATACAACTTTAAATTCACTGCATTTGTTCTCAATACCCAGAAACAAAAAATATTATACTTTACCTGCAGATGTATTCTCTCCAAATATCAAAACATATCAGTGGCTCCATGCAAGGATCACTGTCGCACACGTTAGAAAAGCAGCCCGATGATACACCTTCAGATAGTGTTGCTGAAGTACCATCCATATCTCCATCCATACCTAAGTATACATTACTTATCCTGGGATCTTTCATACAGCCTATGTACAAGAAGAAATTCATGACTACAGATCATCACAGACAAACGATAGTGGTATTATCTTTCCAATAGACAGCTAGAACAATAATACAATTGTTATCAATTTATCTATCAATAATACTTATTATTATACATCTGTCGCCGTAATGCCATAAGTTACAGCGTGCCATAATTTTGCAGCATTTTCATCCGACCAAATTAGGAATTGCGAATTCCAAATATGGAATGATTACGCGTGTAAGCTTCCTCTAATGATAAAACAAACATGGCTGCCACCGAGTTTGACCAAACTCCACACAAAGAAGTTCGCTGATTCTGTTCTGTTCTGTTCTGTATGCTGTCACATCGACCTCCACAGTGCATTGGTCGATATTCCTGCTTTTACTGTCTTTGTGCATACTTTGAGGTATCCTCGTAATAGCATCATATAATAAGTCAATATGTTAAATACATCGCTAAACACATTGAACAAATATTGGTACTGTTTTGTCAAATGTTTTTATTTTTTCACAGTGAATTGTTTTGACTCACCTATAAAGTCCATAGTGACTTGTTGCACATCAACTTGTGCTCCGAGAACAAGACTAGTGCTATCAACTGCCAATTCATAAAATGAACCCATTCGAAATTCCATTTCACGAACACCTCCACCACCGTCAACTTTGACAACGAAGTGATTACCATTTCGTTCCAAATTTATAGAATGCCATACTCCATCATTTATTTTATAATTTGGTAATTTCCTTGAAAATCCTTCGCCAGTGTCGCCTAGATTGAAGGTTGTCACTAGGTAACCTTCATGCAACTGCAATGATAGAACAAAGTTTAAATTATCTGAGCTATATAATTCATGAAGGCATTGATTGCGGCTCAATTGCTATGACTTTGGACTTGGTAGTGATTGCTATGTTTGTGACAGTGGGCAATGTACTTTAATTCCTCCTGTGATTCCCTCCATCGAGTGAATGGGTAACAAATGGGGTACTGATTGCTATGTGTGTGTTTAGCTCTGATGTACATTGAGGAACTCTGACTGTATGCTCCCATGGGAGTTCAGGATGGTTTACAATTCATTCCATTTCACTGGATATATAGTAATATAAATCTGTCTACACATATTATACAATACCCACTGGTTCAAATTATTTTTTTCAAATCATTCCATGCTCTCTCGGTTTTCGTAATTCATCATTACCCAACAAGCCAAACACTCACTATAACCATACACTTACCAGCAATCTTATATACTCCCATCCGTTTGTGTCCGACATATGCCATATCAGTCCGTTTTCTTGCCTTGTTCGAACCATGATATGAAAGTATGATTTGTAATCATCTAGTGGTATGGTTGGCGGTAATTCATATGTAACATAACTTTCATCGGAAAAGTCATATGCTGGCGTTTCTGTTAAACAATTTCCAGTAAAGTCATGATTACATCACATTATACAGCAAAGACCTTGCAAACAACATACTATATTTGCTGATTTGGTATACCCAGTAAAACATGCTCAAGAACACCTGCCAAGTCTAGATTCATTTTAGAAACACACATCAGATGGTATTTGAATCCAACACTTTTTATCAACGTTTTTGTTTACATTAGAAATGTTCTGTTATATTCCATGATTTGTTCAAAGTCATGTGTTATATTGTTTGATTACGCTGTTTTTTGATAACCACCAATAGTGACAAGTCATATGTACAACACATTGTACTAAATCTGAACAAAATCCATCCATGCATGACTGAGATCCGGGTCCGGAATGGTGAAAATGTGCGATTTTGATGCATTTTCGGCCTTAAAGTGGCCGCCATTTGGCTATTGTTAATGAGATCATGAAACAAATGCACATACATATTTGTGACATGATGTACCTTGTGTGTGTGAAGTTTGAACTCGATCAATCCAGCCATGTCTCAGATACGGATCCAGAACTGAATTCTTAAAACAAAATGACGTG